CTTGTGCGGTACTACTGTTACTACTGGTAAACAAGCAAACAAATGAATGCCCGAGCAAACAAACGAAACAATCACCCAACCACCCAACCAAGCAATAAACCCCCAACGATAACACTTCCAAAGATTTCATCAACGGCTTGATTGTTTAAAGCCGCAAGCTGGCAAAGAAATACAACTGCACAGTGCCAGAATTGGGGGCTTCCCCAAGAGAATGGGTTTAAGTCTACAGGAAGTTGCTCATGGCGTTGAAGCCAAACGGACTAAGAGAAAGAGAAAAACTGTGTCAGACTGAGCAGCCAGTGTTGAACCAGCTCAAAGCTGAGCAAATGGTGTTTTGGCACAAGTTTGCACCATTCATCCACCCTTTTCAGTCACTTGGGCATGGTTCAAAACCCTGGCAATACAAACTAGCTGGCACATGGATCTTCATCCTCCCCAATCTGGCATCCCAGAAAGTGCCCAAACACCATCATTGTTGAGCCAGGGCTCGTCGATGGGCAGCAAAGATGGAGTGCCACCGCCGAAATAGAGCGTTTCCAAGGGTTTGCCTGAATGGCTGCGTCCACTTGGGGATCTTCCAAAGTGTATAGATCAAACCTTGCACTATCCGCGGAATGGGTACCCCTATATATAGATTGAAAAATAAAGGGGTTGGGTCCGAGGGACTTATCGTTATTAATTACCCCTACGAATGAAACAGCATCTCATAACCGGTCTACGTAAAAGGACGTAGCAACACTTCCATCTGTGTAATCTTTATCCTGCCTGTATCTTCAAAGTCCTAAAATATCCTAAATATGTTTTAGAGTTTTGGTGCATGACCTGATATTTTGCATAGTGTGACCCTCGTCGCGCCTAAATTTCCTACAATTGCATCGGCGTTTATTCTTTATGCATATCTTATGGAAGGGATGTGGCCTGTATATGCCACTTTCCGCAGCCCTGTCTCACTTGATTTTAGCTAGTGTGATCTAGTGATCTAGTGTGCCAGTTAAGACTTTGGGATGGGAGGGTGTGTGCCAACCAAGTCATCCATCGCATCATTGAGTTGGCAATTGGCACCAAACAACGCCCGCTTGGAGATGAAGTCTCCAATCCTCTATTGGCAGAATGCCATTAGATGGTCCCTCTTGCTAATGTGCCACACCCAAAATTGCCCGCAAAAACACGCACCAAAACCTGCAAATCCTGAAAACTGACAACATGGGAGTTGAAACAGCTGAGATGGGAGTTGAACCAGCTGAGATGGCAGGCGAGGCATTGTAATACACCCACACGAAGCCCTAAAAATGACCACGTCTCAGGAAAAACGACTGATACTTTAAACTGCAAACATTCAATTGTCATAGACTCCATTTTTTGTGGAGAGTTTTAAGATCTACAAATATGTATATATATATATATGTATATACGTCTAATATTTTACCCTCCATAGCAGTTGCTCATGCGCATTCTACATTCTCAAACAGTACATACATTTCAAGCACCTGAACTGGCTGTTGGTATTGTGCTCCCAAACGTGCGCTGTCCTTCACAAATCGTAGGCATTATCTTTACATGTTTTTGAGGCACTGGGCTGGTTAAAAATGTGGTGTAGACGGACTTTGCCACTATGTGACTTGACTTGAACATGGCGTTGTCCACTCCATGAAAACTTCAACAATCCTGCAGGACATGGTCCCAAGAGAACTCTTAGTTTCCAAGCTAACTTTTGCCACTCACCGTTTATGTGTATATATATATATATGTATGTGTGTGTTTTATATTATCTGTTGTCCTCTGTCTTTCTCACCCACTACCCGTAGCCTTGCTATAAACATGTATGTCTCTATATATATATATATATTTATATTTATTTATATTTATATTCATATATATATATATACACATATATATATATGTTTGTGTGTGTTGACTACACCTCCCCTTAAAAAAAAAAGTTTTCTTGGATTCTTGGATACGCTGCATTCTCCTTCAGCTAGTTAGCATACGCCCTTAATTTTCAGCTATTTATATTGGTGAGGACAGGTAAAAATGTATTTGTATATGTTAAAAATGCATTGATCAGTACTTTCGAAACTATCCAGTTGGTTGAACCCAGTAAATGACACATAACAATACATGTTCCACATCTAATCCAAGCTAGACCCAAAAACCGATTCGTTACAGAACGACTTATAGCATTTTAGGGAGGTCAAAATTCCATCCCTAACCACCTGGCCCGACGGTTCGCCAGGCTTCGTTGAAAGTCTTCCTGAAAGGCTCCAGCACCGCCTGAGCGCAGCTCCTGCAGCAAACAGGCCATGTAGCGCTGCACGCGGACAGCAAAGCCTGGACGACTAGGACGACCCCATGGGCGATCACGGGCGACCAGGACCACTTGGAAAAAACATGGCTGAGGTAACGTTAACATTACGAATTTCCCACCGGCTATAGTGGGTTGGAGCAACTCTTACAAACGGGGGATTCGCATGGATTCGTGGAGTTTTATGTTGGGTGGATGGTAAGGATCTTTGAACTTGGAACTTGTCTTTGGGAAAACGTGTTCTTTGTCTTTGACAACTGCAATGATAAGCCTAAAAGGCTAAAAGGATCTTTTTCTGGCAACCTACTGGTGGCTAATGCCCTGGTGCCGGGATGATTTTGGCCTTAAAGATCGCATCCTCACATTGCTATCCATTGCTACTGTAGCTAAAGGCATGCAAACTGAACGTTCATTTACCCAAAGAAAACAACAAAAGTAGGAAACAAAAACATGAAGGCACATGAACGCCCTCATATTTAGAAGCAAAGTCATCTTGCAGGTCATTTTTCCATACAACAGCCTTTAGCAGCCCTGACTAGCCGTGACCAACCCCAATTTGCCAGGATGCGGGACTTCCCTGGGACATCAATGGGAAAGTCGCAGTATCTGCACTTTTGACGACAGAAGGGGATGTGAATGTAGGCCGAGCTCACCTTACCGGCAAAGTAGGCACATGTAGGCACAATCCCTTCCCATAGTGGCGGGACGTGGCGGATCTGTTCATTTCGAGGTCCCATGTGGGTGATGTGGGGCTGGGATTGATACCACAGCAAAGGGATAATCAACTGTTTCGCTGACTTGCAGTGCGTTGACATTCTTCAAGAGGCTGCATTTTCGCAGCAAATCAGCCCATGGACCAATCTACCTCAAGACCCATCGCCATCAAAGCTTCTCACTTTCTGATCCAAGAAGATTTCATTCTAGATGATTTATATAAGTACTGAGTATGTCTCAAAGTTCCATCCCACGTCATACACACAATTTCCTGGATGGTGATGTAAGCACATCCCACACAATTCCAAAAATACAAGTCAAGTATGGTAAATCTGGATCGTCACTGCAGGTAAGATGGAACAATCCAAACCCCCTGAATCGCTGGCAATGGATATGCATACCCGGCATTCCCGGTTTATATATTGGAGAACTATGGCTACTCTGGAGCCGCCTGGGAACTTAGGAACTTGGCTGGCACTTAGCTGGCACTTAGGTTACTTAGGTTTGAGGGTTTGCTAAGTGTGAGCTAAGTGGCCGCTAAGTGAGCTAAGTGATTTGCATTGTTTTTTTTTAAGTTTAGGTGGTTTCTTTTTCTTGTAGATTTGGAGGTTTTTTTTGGGTTAGTCAGGTGAGGAGGCAGCTTTTGTTCTTCATGATGATGTTGCATGGTCAGCGCAAAAGCCAAAGACCATCTTGATCTTCACGTAGCAAACGCATTGGTTCTATGTGCATCAGTTTTGATGCAGGCAGGATTTGTTTGGGGCCCCGTAGGCGTTTCCATTTTAGAATGAATTTCTCCGTCAGGAAAGGTTGCAATATTTGCACCACGGCATAGAAACGCACAGAAATCGAAATCCCACGGTCTTACTCCTTGCTTCGGGGTGGTTTTGGTCTCCAAGGCCGCAGACATCTGTCAAAAGTAGAAATTCTTTAGTTTCTCCTTCCGCAGACATCCGCAGACATGTGACCGCATGCAAAGCAGCGGTTTTCCTTGGTCGCAGACACTCGCAGACACAGCGGCAAGTCATTCCCAAGCACTTTGGCCTGGTTCGCAGACATATATCTGCCCAGAGAGGCTCAAACGTCCGCAGACATCCGCAGACACATGCAGACAGAGGATGTTTAGAGGTTCGCACGATATGCAACGCTACTATTCTGCTTCTTTACGCAATCCGTAGACTGCGTCTGGCTTCCCATAGAAGCCAGGCACTGCGTCGGCACCACTGAAACTCTCGGCTGCGATCCGGCTTCCGAGAGAAATGCCAGGCCAAGATGTTCAACCATTTGCTGCAGCGATATAACTCCGGCGCCAAATGGACTTGCTTCCACTGCACATGGTCATACCATGCGCTTGTCGCTTCCTTGTAGGAAGCGGGAAGCAGACAAAGGCCACTGATTTTGGGATGCGGCGGAAGATCTACGGACATGCCTGAAAACCAAAATGCCTGCAAAACGTACCTGTTTCCGTCCTACCAACCAACAAACCTCAAAAAACATAGGTTCGCGATTCGAAGCTAAGTGCCAGCTAAGTGCCAGCTAAGTCCAACTCACTTAACTTAGCAAACTTATATGTACCCCTCAGTTAATAGTAAGTGCCACCTAACCTCTAACCACTTAGCAGCCACTTAACCACTTATGAAGCAACTTAGACATAACTTATCCACTTATAACTACACCTACATGATAACTTATAAGTTCCTAAGTCCCAGGCAGGTCCAAAGTAGTAACGGGTTTTGACTGGTTCAGACCCATCCACATTGTAACCAACCCCCATTTTTGCTTGTGATACGTTTTTAAACACAATGCCATGAACTTCCAATTAGGGATGGTTGCCAAGTAAAACATGATAACGCAACCATGACTCGAAACAACATGGTTTCCTGGCAAATTTAACTTGGCTGTGCATCTGAAACGGCAAGTGGGTACTGTACCAATATCTAATCATCGCCAAACCAAATTACATTTGGGTCATCTCAGCTATATGTTGATTATCGTGGGCTCAACACCACTTAAGAAACGTGTTTGTCTAAAAATGGAGCATCCCAAAATCCGTTGGTGATCATTGGTGTATCAAGTTTAACTAGCAGTTTCCCTATTCTTCAGTGGCCGTTTGGGGATATACATTTACAATTTACTACATTTACAATTTACATCATCTTCAGACAAATATCAAATGGTCCCGAAAATGGGGATGCCCAATCGTCACCATAGGTCGGTCAATACCTTTCTCATCCATGACTTGGCTGGTTTTCCGGTGCCATGACTTAGGTGCCCCTCACCACGTCGTCACCGCTACAAGGCACCGCCTCACTCCTCGCCTCCATTGGAAACCTCCGCGCCACGGCGCGGACCACGCGGACCACGCGGACGACGCCGGCGGCTGCGCAGCTGGTGGCCAACGGTGTCCAAGGACCAGGGCGGTGTCCGACCTCGGAGCTCCAGCTGCAAAAAAAGGGGGTTCACCAAGTGAAGAAGTTTCTTTATCATTTTTTAATGAACCAAAACCACGATTATGGTGATATTTTGGTGACATTTTGGTGATGTATATCGTGTACAGCAGGCACCATTCATTGCTATAGAAATTGAGGCAACCAAAGTGAGGATCTCTTTCCTCTCTCCATGGGAATTTCACTTGGCAGGGTAGAATTATAGTACAAATTTCAATAGTGTAGTCCGTAGGTGATTCATCTATGAAAGGGTGAGGTTCCAATGCCATGACATCTTGTTTTACGTGATTTTTCTCGGCGTGCCTTAAGTCTTAGACACGTTCAGGACACGCTTGGACTTGCTTTACTGCACATACTTGCCAAGTGTAGGTGGGTAACTTTTAGCCAAGTTCGTGTTTCATGATCAGGGGTGAGTTGAGTGTATCAGCTAATTACTTGGTGTCTGATAGTTCAAAAGCAGCTGGTACAGTAGTGGGCTTAATGATACAACTCATTATCTGGGGACATGTGAATGTCCTAGACGGAAGCCTCAGGCCTTAACGTTCCTGTCTGCATCATCTGAGTTGCGCAACGCATGTCACTTCATCGGTCTCGTCTGAAAATAGGGGACACCAAATCCGTTGGTTTGTCATGAATTTCCGGTGAGCAAGTGCTTTTCAGACTGACCAATCTCATATTGCTGATGATCAATATATCCAAATTATATATACCATAATTTATACCATTTTATCCCCATAGTATTGGCAAAATTCAAAATTATCATATGCAACAGTTAAATCCCCAATATATACAATGGTCAACTCATCTTAAGTCCATTGGATCCCTAACATCACTAACATCATGTTCAAGTCCCCGACATAATGACTAAACTGACTAAACCCATTGTAAATGTCATCCCTAAATATCTATAAATATCTTCTAAAGCAGCACTTCTATAGTGAGGCCGCCTGCGGCCAAATTTACAATATTCAAAATACTTCGCTGAGCCACTCGGGGTTTCTCCACCCGCCATGCTGGAGCGGGAGCGAAGCCCGCATTGCCAGCGCTCGCGACCAACATAGGAGCTTGCAACGGGAAATCTCGGGGTTGCAACATTTGCAACGAATATGTTGACTGCCTGGTTCTTCCATTGAAAATTGAAACGTTTGTGTTAGAAAATTCTGAACGAACTAAGGGGTCAGATGCTCGACGTTAAAAAATGTGCTCGCTTCCATTCCATGCACGCACGCACGCACACACACACATCCAAGTAGCCATTTTTCAAATCAGCTTTCGAAATGAAGCTCAAATTCAATATGTGCTCAAGGAAACCCCTGAAGTGATGATCAAAACCAGCACTTTTTTAAATTGCGCTCGGTTGCACTTATTTGCGCCCGAAGTTGCGCCCTGTTTTTCGTAAGAATTTGAATGAATTTCCAACAAGTGGGCCCCCAAATCTGAAATATGCTCGTTTGTTTTCCAAAACTAGGTCCAAGCATAGCAGCGATTTTGAACCAAATGGCTTTAGGACCAGGTGTCTGCAAAGAACGCTCGAGGATCCACATGCTCGAATGGAGATTTCTGCTCGATTAGCCCAAAGGTACATAAGTACAGATATGTTTGCTCGTCTGAAGATGTAGGTGTTGACTTTCATGGGGGGAAGTCAAAGACTCCAACAACGTTAAGCAACAACACACATGTTCTTTTAGCTTGTGAATCGGGAAACTAAAACTTACTCACAACATCTCTCAATGTAATATGAAACAGTTTTTGTTGAGATTGGGGTTTTAAAAAAACATCGGAAAGACAAGTTGCATAGTTCAGGTGGTCCTGGCAGGAAGCTCAACATCTATCAAGGACCTAGATTTGCGGCCGCTAGTACCAAACCATTTGTAGGTTTCCTACAATGGGGTACCCCTAAATCATCAATTTTTTAACAGGATTTTCCAGTATAGACCATCCATTTTGGGGTACCCCCACTGATAGAGTTTCCCCATTTGGGGCCCTGTATCCCAGCAGGTTTTTTGGGTCATCTTCCCCTTTTTGCCGCTTGAAGTTACTGAGACTCCGGGCGCATTCCTCGACCTCAGTGAACGGACTTCAAAGACGGAGGATTTCTTTGGTGTGGTGATCCCCTGCTAGAAGTTGATAGTGAGATGTGTGGTAAATCCATCCATAAACAAATGAATACATACATATATAATAATTATATATACAATATGCATATATATATATATCTCTCTCTCTTTCTCTCTCTTTCTTCTTTTTTCCCTCAAAACAAAAGTTTAGCTTTTATGAGTCCGTCCCACTCAGCCCAGCCGAGTGGTGGTTTCAGTTTGGGCGTCCCATGACCATGAATCCAAACCAACTTCCCTGTTGGCCGAAAAAGAAAGGTGGGGATTTCAAGAGGGAGACGATCTGCAAACGGTGGATTCCCAATGGTGTATATATGTGTGTTTTGTGTTTTATTTTCTTGTATTATTTTGTATTGTGTTGTGTTGTTTTGTTTGTTTTTCGATTCTAATGGTTTGTTGGTTTACCAGAAGCAAAGTCACTGGGAACAATGTTCCCAAATACGAACCAAAAAAACACACATGGTTCAAAGCAGGCCAGCTCCTAGGGTATAAAACATGTTTGAGCAATTCCCATTATGGTCAAGTCAATGTTGTGATGTGGAAAATTGATGAAAATTGGCTGCCACCAGCAGGATATTTTTTTTGGCGTGCGCAAACTTTGCGGCAGTACGAGGCGAGCACAGTGGTGAGCTGGACATGGCAAGACAATCGAGGCGAAGTAGGATTCGCGGCCACGGGTCATGGTTGGAAACCATGATACTGTAGTGTAACCGTCACGAAACAAACCGAACCAATATGAACAAACCCTTGAGACCCCCAGTGAAAAAATCCTCTGAGATGAGTGGATTGCAACCACATGGTAAGCATTCTTACCACAATCTCCAATATATGACAAGTGTATATACAAGCGCGTTTTAATATGTCGTAATTCATATTGAACTGGGTCATAGTCATAACATATCATAACCAACTGGGATGATCCACCAAGCCGCTCCTGTCAAGAAATTTGGAATCATGTTAAATCACAATACGGTACTTTCACCAGCGAAGCATAGCCTTTGCCACCTTTCTTTCATGCCTGTATAGAGTGGTGGTTCAACATATTCCTTGCCTCTATCTATATATATATATAATTATATTGTCCCGAAGCCTGAAAAGTGATCACATTGCCGTAAGGACAATCCCTCTCGTGTGTGCAGTGTTTGTGCAAGAATTTTTGCTGCGAAAGTGTCCCGGATTCCTGCAGTAGACCGCAATTGCAGGGAAAACGCCCCAAGAGGTGTTCAGGAAAAACACATTGAACACTCATCTCAGTCCAATGTTTCGTCCACAATCAATGTCTTTTGAACATGTTTCAAATACAATCGGATGTGTTTCTTTGATCGTTGGTCCCGCCATGTCAACGCTCGTTCGATTCCACGGAAGCTCCTCAGCAATGCCGCAAAACTTTCAGGGAATCTAACACTAATAGAGAGAAACTCCAGAAGCAAAGATATTTCCAAACATCAACAAATTAATGGACACTTCCAAACGATATTAATGTGCAGTCTTGATTAGTGCGGTGGGTCGGTGTTGTGTCAAATTGTTTTTTCCCAGGCCAATTCGTTTTTCAGGATAAGTTTTTTTTTTTCAGAAGGCTGTGTTTTTTTCATTTTTTCCGGAAGATTGATTTTGTTTGGTTCAAGAAAAGAATCCTAATAATATTTTGCCCAATTCCACCAAAATATCAAATTTCTAATTAAAACCCAATTAAGAAAACATCACCCAAACAATTTTCCAAGGGGGTAGCCAATGAGCAACTCAAATCGTCAATAGTAGGGTTGTTGCCGGGGTCTTCTATTGTGTCCAATAGCTTTTCTTACTTAGTTCCATTCTCCTGACATCCTCTCCTGGTGTTTCTATGTGGTTTCTTGGAATTTCTATGGTGTTTCTAATTATGGGATTTCTGAGGAATTTCCATGGGATTTCTGAGGGGGTTCGATGGGATCGCTATGGGATTTCTATGATATATGTTTGCGATTTCTACAGGATTTCTATGGGATTCCTATGATGGGTTTCCTAAGGGATTTCTTACTTATCATTAGATTTGTTTTGCTTATGAAGGAAAATGAGCTGAAAGTAAATTGATATGTAAGCCCGTTCTTATCAATAGATTTCCTTTGGGGCTTAAAAGGAAAATCAATTGCAAGTAGATGGATATCTATCGTAGTCCATACGTATGCTTAGATTTAGGCTTAAAAGGACAATCAATTGAAAATAAGTTGAAATCCGTTCTTAACAATGGGTTTCTTGAAGGTTTAAAAGGAACATCAATGGAAGGTAAATTGAATTCAATTGAAATAATTTCTCTTCAATTGATTTCTTGAAGGTTTCAAGTTTCAAAAGGAAAATCAATTGAAAGTAAATTAAACTCAATTTGACGTCCTTTCTTATCAACTAACTTCTTGAAGGTTTCAAACGGAAAATCAATTGAAAGTAGATTGAAATCAATTGAAATCCTTTCTTTTCAATTGATTTCTTGAAGGTTAAAATGAAACTGAATTAAAAGTAAAGTTGAAATCCATTGAAATCCTTTCTTTTCAATTGATTTCTTGAAGCTTTAAAAAGAAAATCAATACTGCAATTGAAAGTAAAATTGAAATCAATTGCATTTTTTTCTATACAATTGATTTCTTGAAGGTTTATATAAAAGAAACATAAATGGAAAGTAAATTAGAAACAATTGACATCAATTGAAACCCTTACTTGAGATAATGATCCAACTTTAGTCCGAACCTGGCACCTAAGTTACAAGCCTAAACAAACCCCTTCAAATGTTTGGGGGAGGGGGGGTCTCCCTACACTAATAATTATTATGTAGTCAGTATCTAATATAATTTAATCTATGTCCATATCAATATCCATGTGTGTCAGATCTCTGTAGTTGCGGAAATAGTTCCAACAAACAACAGAATCAACACTCCTCATGTAGGAAATGTAGGGATATGGAGGGCCACACTGCAACAATGCAGGTGCCCTTGAGGCGGCCAGCAATGGCCAGTGGCCAGTGGCCGGGTGGGCTTTCACTCCGCCAAATCCTGTACATCCTTGGCGAAGGTTCTGGGAATCCAATTTTGGGAGGTCAGCCATTTTGAGCTGTAGCCGTAGGACGTCCTTGACCCCCATGCCTCAACAATGCTTCAACTGCAATAATTAAATCCCTGTCGGCTTTTGTGCGAATCAAATCTTCATCGAACTTGTCAGTTGCATGGTGGAACTGCTCTGTTCACTGGGGCTGCAACTGTGGGAACCATTGAGAACCCACAACCGGTCAAAACCATAGGGCCAATGGAGATTGGGCAATCAACTCACAAAACCCAGGTTGGATTCCCAGCCCAAGACCACCGCACAACAAAAATAGGCAGGACGCTTGCCATGCAATCGTACCTGTGCTATACGCAACAAGGTTCCATGCTGTTCGGCCGGTAAAAGGATAATGGGATCACGGTCAAAGTTTTTTCCAAGACTAAGCCTATCTCATGAGCATGATACAGTGCTAGTTTGCTCTTCCTTCCCAGTGTCTATTTGGTTTGACACCTTGGATCTCTCACCATACCAAGGGCACAAGACTGTTGTTGATGTGTAAACAGCGGTCGATCGAAACTGCAGTGCATTTGGTGAATCCCTTTGCTGAAAAGGTTTAACCAAACCAAATCTCATAATCACATGAGTCACATGTATGGACGGATGGGTAGATGGATGAATGGATGGGTGGATGGATGCATGCATGCACATGTTGACATTATATAATTATATATCGATATGTGCATATGTTCGGACACACACATCTATATATATATGTATATGTATAAATAAATATGCATATATATATATATATAGATAGTATGTTCGTATCTATATGTATACGCACAAAAATATATAACATATTTTATATGATTGTAGGCGGAAATCGTGTATTTACTTGTTTGTTATCTATGTTTGTAAACCTGTCTACATATGTCCATATGTACATATATACACATGTGTACATATCTAAATGTATATGTATATGCATAGGTATATATGTATATATTTATAAGTCTAAATATATAATATGTGAATGCAATGCATATCTACTATTTATGTATCTATGTAGGGCTAAACATTGTCGATGTATGTATATATGCATACAAATATATTAACATGTGCAAATAGATGCATATGCATAGGCATCTACAAAGTGTAATATATATATATATACATGTCTATGCTGTATGCAAATGTAAATGCACATTATATGTAATTATACATATATTATATATCAAAAATATGTATATATATATATATGTATATACGTAGAGAGAGAGAGAGAGAAATAGAGAGAGGAATAGCAATTCCAGATGCGTTTTACAAATCTCATGCGGCAACGTCCCCGATGCACACACTCGCCTGACTCCAAGCTACCACGGAGTTTCCCTATTCTTACCACAGAATCCAGTATTTTGATTCTGTCAAATCATCTTCTTCACATAAATTCAAAGCACGGAGCCTTTTTTTGCGATTTCCACACAGAGACATGCCAGCTGTGCAGGTGGCGCAGCTGGTATTCCGTGCTATGCAATACTATGCAAATCGGCGGCCTGCCGCAGCAGTTCTGGTGGATATCCCAGCCACAAAAAAAACACATTGGGGGATCATGTGGCATCATCTCAAATAGAATAAATAGGGAAGTAATCCCCAAAATAAATAAATACATAAAATATAAATAGATAAACTACCATTTCGATCCATTTAATTTAGGGGGATGTTTCTTATTGAACCTTCATCAACGTTGAGTATGCATGGTGAGTTTGTACATTGCTCAATCCGATCAATTTTAGGGCACATGATGATAATTTCATATCTTTAAGAAAATGGAAGCAATGCATTGCTTTGTGGGATGACTATCATCATTTTCAATGAGGTTGTTGTAAGGTTGTCATGAATTACTTAATCTAGAAAGTGAGTCGCACATATTGTGAGCCATAGCTGCAACTCTATCACGCAGGTTCCTGACCAGTTGCTTGAAGGGATTGTCATTAAAGCAGAAGTGGTCCCAAGGTCCCAGCCCGAACATGTGAGCTAAGAACCTGGAGAAATACATGTTGATTGATGTTAGTAATGCAATAGGAGCCACCATCCCCAATTTTACCATAAATGGGTAAAATTAACCGTCAAAATATAGGTGGTTCATTGTTGGCCTACAAGCATTATTGGCAACCATTTATGCCAAGCTCCGGAAAATCCTGTATAGGTTAGAAACCCTCTTCTTCCAGAGGTTTGCCTATGGAACAAAGAGCATTGACAGAACCTTGCAGTACCCTTTCTCTTCGGACAATGCGCGTACGCTTTCCGCTTGAGGTTTTTTCAGTTTTCTGTCAAGGCATCCTAAACACCACAGAATTACAAGGGATTACAATGATTACAAGGGTCATAACTAGCCCTAAGGCCAAACTACAGCTCGGATCACACACCTTCAGCTTCCCGAATCCCACCTCTACACCGCTAGAGCCCAGCAGTTCAGGGGTAGCCTCAGAGAAAAAGTATGACGTGGAACTGGCTGCACAAATTTCCGGCACACGTTTTTTTTGGAACACTTGGCAACATTCCAACTAAACCATGCTTTTTTAGGAACACTTGGAAGTCTTCCAACTAAACTGCCTTGGCATTTAATGTAACATGATCCAAAGGACTCTATCCGTATGCACATGTTGAGTCTTGCCATGATCTTGGTCCTGCCCAGCCACTCTCCTGACATGCGGAGGACATCAGCAAATTCCTGCCTGACATCACTGACAAACAGGACATGGCATGGTAGGGCCCTGATTCCAATAGGAACATTGGGAGATTTACCATGGTGATGTCAAACCTTATGACATAATACCATATAAAATCCATATAATATCATGGTATATTATTTCATAGGTGGCTCTGTTCCATCAGGAACAGGGCGGCTCCCCTGTCCAACTCAGGGCATCCCCAAATCCACTGGTGTATCTTCATTGTCCCTATGAAACGGCATAACTTGATACAATTTTGGGGGTATACCGTATGTATATATATATGTGTGTGTGTGCACAGTATATACACATGTATATACCCCAGCATCAAACACACCAAAATCATATAGCTATATCCCCATTATATCCGCAATTATATCATATATCCTTATTATATCCATTATATCACAATGAAATCATGAAAAATCCATGAAAATCCGGCCTCACCAATGCTTCCGAATCCTCTGGAAGGAGAAGCCACCCCTCCACCTCTTCAACTTCCTCATCGAATTGCCTGCCAGCTCGACTCAAGTCCCATGGTTGCTGATCACATTCCCCCCAAAAAAGAAATATACAACAAACGCTTTTGGGAGATTTTCAGGGTATGCCCCAAGCTTCAGTACCACTCAAACGCATGTTGTTTTGGGAAGCAACCTGTTGTTCCAAGGGCTTGGATGTCATCTCGTTCAAATCTCCGTGATATCAGTATATGAATCCCTCAAAAGGCTTGGTAGCTAATTTTTCTTTTGCATCTTCCTAACAATCCTTGCAGGTTCTAAAGGTAAACTTTCTGACACATTTTTGGATCCAGGTAGCCGGCCTCCAAAGTATCTTCGTATATTTCTATCAGTCTATCTATTGGTAGGGTATTCTCCCTATCCACCTATCCATCCATCTTGCTGTTGCTGTATCTCTTGCACGACACTGCTTGCTACATTGGCCCGAGTTCCGGAATGACTCAACAGAATTAGCATCCCAAGGACCAAAGGACACCATTTCATCAGAGGTTTGCGGTGGGCACCGGGTAGGCTCCAGATGCTCCAGATCCTCCAAGTTCTTGAAATTAAAGACCTGGCCCCAGCTGGAGGTTCAGTCATGGGGGTACCCCAGCTGGATGGAAATTCCCATCGACGACTGGTAGCCCCATCGGAAACTGGGGAAGGCCTTCATCTCCACCTCCTGCACCTCGAGGGCCTCTTCCCGTGGACACCAGCCCACTGCCGTTGCGGCCATGGAGCGAATGAACTGCGGCAGGGTGTCACGGCGAAAACATGGCTGGGAAACCCCCTATAAAATGCAGATCTTAATGGGAAATCATCTATAAATCATCTATAAATGGTTGATTTTCCCATTGCAATGTTGGATTACCGGAGAGTAACGCTTAGGAAGAAACTCCCTGTATTCCAGCTGGCGGATGTAATCTCTTCTCCCTATATTACAGTACTAAAAGGTGTCGGGCTGGTAGAAAACCGCAGTACGAAATGCATTCAAATGTTAGTTCGTTTTGCTCTTAGAATATTCCAACAAAACAAAAACCCTGTAAAACAAAGGAGATTTGCTCATGCACCCAAAAACACGCACGAGCTTCTACCTGCCCGACGCGTACTAAAATTCCCCCAATTAATAAATAGGAATGGATTGGCAATTCCGTTTTTTTGGTGGGTTACAATTGCGTTCTTAATTGTGGTAATTGAACATCAATGAGAACAGGATGGTGAAATAATGGTTTCAACATGTTTCAACCCCTATTAATAACAATAGAATGATACCTGGAGTTTTTTTTATTATGGTCCCATCTCATAAGTTTTGTTAATTTTCTATTATCAAGGTTTTCATTGGCATATGAGGGGAAAGCGTCGAAATACAGTCTTTGGCAATATCTTATATAGATTTTAGTAAGGAATTTCAGTCGATTTTGAAATCGAGTTTTTCATTTTTATTATTAAGGTGTTCATTGGAATATTAGAGGCACCCCAGAACAAAATACCCCTAATAATAAAAATAGACCACCGTGTTTACCGGGGTGGGGTGTTTAGTATTAGGAAGCAGAGATTAGGTGTTTCATTACATGGCGAAGCAGTCCCCAATTGAGGTCAATTCAGGAAACTAGTCACCAGAATATGCCTCACTGGTGATACGCGTGCAGCTGGCAATCAGCTTCCTACCTTGTATATATATATATATTTGTTCAGATACTGCGCGAGAAACTCCCAGCAAAACACACCTATTTTAATGATGCCACATGCAGGAAGACATGGAGATACAATGCAGAATATTGCATAATTATCTAGCACAGGCTCCATCCGCTGTTTTGAGCTTTGACATCTTTGACCTCTTGAAACACAGGTTTCCGAAAATACAGTGACAAATCATTGCCAAACTTGGCATTAAACCCCGTCACCAAATATGCATCTAGTAGTTGATCTAAACATATCTAAATGATTCTAAATGTATTTGCGTGTAATTTGTCCAGGAATGGAAACTGTTCGTTAACTCATTCAGAAATCCTGGGATGGAAGATGTCAATACCAACCCCAAGCCGCACCTGTCCCCCGGCATAGGCTGCTGCTCGCATCCGCAGCACCGGCGCAGGTGGCGGCGCACGCGCTGCGCGGCCAGCGTCGATGGCAGACTTGGAGAACCCTAAGCCTCGCCTGGGGCGATGGTCAGTGGGAATTTCAGGACCCTGAAATGGAAGTACTGTATTACTGTGCCCTCTCTTTCTCTCGCCATCCTATAGTGTACCCTATATCTCTCCATCGCCATCCCATATATGTATAGTCAAGTACATTATAGTACCCTCAAGGCCAGATTTTGTGAGGATATTCCCGTATTGTGGGGATAAATTGCTATTGAGATGGGGTGCATTTGGCTTTTGCCGGCCCACAGGGGTACAGTACAATTAGCGGTAGTTGGGTTACAGTTTGGAATTTTCAACCGGCAAAGACAAAGCACTATCATTGGGCTTGCGGATTCAATCGCAGCTCATCTCTCATCTCAGCCTTTGAGTTCATAGAACCCCCTCACGCTAGATGGAATGTTGGGGTGATCATAGCATGTCTCTTTTGCAATACCATCCTCAGTATCTCTTACAGAGTTCATCCTTTCAAAGTCCCAATCTACAGTAGAAACTTGGCTCCAAGGAAGTATTTGAGGCCAAGAACGCCCAAACTCTGGCTACCCGAATGGGTAGCTGGACATTGGCCCCACTTAATTCCAAGAATTATCATCAGTGTTCAACCATACTGGGGTCTGACCCATTTTGAGACAACTCCAGATGCTGATTCCTGCAGGAGCCCTCAATTATCAGTTGTTGTATAAACCGATAAACCTATCCAATCATATCCAATCACAACAAACTACCCGTCCCAGTATTGCTAAACACCATACCTATCATGAATCAACTCTAGTATACTATAGTATGCTATAGTATTCATATATTAATCCTCCAATTTGTTGGAGGTTCAAATCCAATTTTTCTTGGTAAAATCCCCAGTTTCAAACCCATCTCGGGGAGGCCAAGGTTGCCATGGTCACCGAGTTGCTTCAGTCGCTCGATGCCTCCGGCCTCGGCGAAACGATAAACAAGTGAAAACAAGTGCTGAGTTTTTCTGAGTAAATAAAACACAAAATACTGTATTGATGTTTGATGTAATATATATATACTTGTTAGGCACTAACATGTTTTTTTGATTTCCAACACGTAGTTGCATGTATAATCATATATATATATATATGTGTTTGATCGGTCTGCTACAACATGGCCTAATCTGGCAAGGAAAAGAACATTATATTAGACATTATGTCTATTCAAGTCATTGTAGTTGGGCCAGCCCCCTGAAAAATAGATGGGTCATTGGTCATTAGGAATCGTCATCCAAAGTGGGCCTAAAGTAAAAACTGTAATCCATTCCCCTTGTCACTGTATACACCCCCAAGAGGACTGCGGGTTTAGTCGTCGATCTCTTCAGCGGCGCGTCCCTTACTCTTTGTCATACTTATTGTTGGATCTTTGGGGGGTGTAAAATGCAAACCACCAGAAAACAATACTTACCCTCTGGTAAACTAACATAGCTATTGAAAATTGCCATTTATAGTTGAATTACCCATTGAAAAGGTGATTTTCCGTAGTTATGTTAGTTTATCAGAGGGTAATCTTCTCAATTTACGACTTACGTACGACTTGCATGGGAAGTATTTAAAATCCTGCCCAACGAGGGTGGTCACTATATTGGGTTGACCGCATTACAAACCACCAACCAAATCTGCGTTCAGGAACTATACAGGGGAAACAAAAACATTGGCTCTACCGGCTCCGTGTTTTCTGTTCGGGGAATGGTCAATGAAATGGCGGGTGACAAACCTGACAATTTGGGCCAGTGACGATATATCCAGAGCTGGCTGCAGGAACATGCTCTGCACAAGCAACAGCCTGTGATACCCATGGCAATGCAGAACGTGGCAATGCAGAACTTTGTTGAGACTGCCCCTTAAATGGTGATTATTTAGTAGAAATATATATATATAAAGATAATGAACCAGTGAACAAGGGTATTTCTTTTTTTCTTCCCCCCCCCCTCTCTCTCTCTCTCTAATCACGTGATCGATTGAAATTGCAACTTAAAAAAGCACCTCTGTCATCATTGTCTCCTCAAAATTGCCGCAAATAGATGCAAATAGGGTATCCCATGGTATCCCCCTAATCCCTTCCCCCTACTACTAAACCTACCCACATATAAAACATGTAGGGTCCATTGTTGCTGGTTCCCGACACCTGCCAGGTTCATCTGCGACTCACTGTCAGGTTCAAATATCAACATCATCAACATCTTGGAAGAATCCAAAGAACGCTAAATTCCTCGGCACCACTATCCCAAACGTGAGTAATAACTACTAGTAATGTCGCGATAAGTTACTGCCTCATCTTTGGAAATGGAATGCTTTAACCAACATCGGCATATGATTAAGGGACATCACAGCATGATAATATACACGAAATCCAAAAGTCCGATGGATTGCTACGGGAGTCAGACACAAATTTGCCCACATATGACATTTTGCACATGCTCGCTCGCTTATGCCGCTTATGCTCAACAGGGGGGTGGGGGAGGGGCAATAACATGGTTGACGAATTTAACACTGTTGGTTCCGTTTCCAACATCAACATAAATATGTGCAGAAGTTGGGCCAACTCTTCAAACCGAATCTCAGCGGCTGAAGAAAGACAAAGCAGGGCCGAATAAAATATGAGAGCTTTGCGCGCGAAGGCATATGTTGATACGCCAATATATATTTTTTAATGTTGACCTGATTGTGATGATAACAAGAATTATTGTTGAAGAAATATAAATCACTGTAAAATACAAGTACTATGCCCATTCCTGACTCCAAATCCACAACCCCAATGATGAAAAACCCACGCCCGTGTCAAGGCGTTGTTCCCTTGTTTTTTGTGGCAATTGAAAAGCAATAGGAAACCACCACAACATGTGAAACAGCCCAACGATATTTAAAACTAGTCAGCCGTGGGGTGCTTACTATTGGAGTCCGCCTTTTGAAATCCACAATAATTTTAGCTGTTGCTTTACTTTAATAAAGGTGTTGATTATTAGCAAGATCTTGGTCGATGTTGAAATCACATGTGTCTTTTCTTGATCAAGTTGTTTTTTAGGAGGAAACCTCTCACCCCAATACTAAATACCGATACCCCAATAATAGAAACTAGTCCAGGCGTTTCTTTTGCGTTGGAGGGGGTGTTTAGTAGAGGGGGAAGATTCATTCTTGGACCAACCTACATGTCCAATGCTCCCAGGCCTGAGCCTCGCTAAGGACCCCCAGACCTGACTGCTTAGCGCTGGAAACACGTAAAGCATGGAAAGCTGTGGGATGCTGTGGGTCTTCATTTTTCATGGGTTCTTAATTCAATATATTTCAATGCAAATCATGAATCAATATCATCAAAATCCAGGAAAACCAATTGACGCCACGCAAATCAACCATCTGTGGGAGCTGTTCGGCTCTGGACAGGCTGAGCTCCCCCAAAATCCATGTCTAGGCTTCTGGAACATTGGATTCACCCGCAAGGTTTCACGATTGAACTTACAGGCATATTTGTTTCTTAGTTTTTGTTCATGACATATTTTTCATTTCCAATACCCTCCAGCAATCAAACATGGTTTGCCAGAAAACCTCCAGTTATGTGATTGTCAATGTTTTCCTATGATTTTCATATCACTTCCCTATATATGTCCTATAGCTTTTCCCATATGTTCCCAGTTGTCTCGACCGGCCAGTTGTGCCATGTCCGGCCTGAGCCAGCCAGGCCGATGAGTCCGGAGTTGCGTCGCCAGGAATCCTCCCTGTAGTGGCCCAAAACGATGTCCTGGAGGGGTCAGCCGGGTCAGCCTGTGATTTCCGGTTTCTGCGTTGAATTCGGAGCTAGTTGGGGACACCAGCTTCGTCAACCCAGGAGAATAATAAGAATAATATAAGAATCTGCAGACAACACCGCCAGGAACAAAGATTCACTAGCAGGTCAAAAGTTGCCACTTTTTCAACTGGATGTTTACAATCCAAGGTGCCAGGTGAGTTCAAAAAACATCATTTGGAACTCTGCCCACCTGTCCTCTGCAGCGCCCCAAGCCTCATGTCCCAAACAACGCCTATGGCATTCCAAAAGCATGTTGCAATTAGGGTTACATGTCCTTTGGTCATTCTCAGTTGCGCAATGATGGCAGATTCTTGGGTTTTACGGATGTCTATAATATATGATTGTATGAATGCACATGATTGCTTTTGAGAACCAATGGAGGGTCTTTTTGGCAGCATTTCTGTACTCATTGGTTACTCAATGAGTATTTCTCTATCAAGCAAAACAACCAGTGGCAAACAAAAACATGGCGCATCTCGTGGATTGAATACCTGCTGCTGAAACCACTGTTGAACGCCAAGTCTGGTTGGTGGTCGAAACACAGTGACCCAAAATGCCAGAACAATTGGAATTAATTGGGGGTAATCACGGGTAATCGTACCAAATAAACTGATATATGTTCAAACATCCCATTTTTAATTCTGGAGTTCCAAGGGCTTTCAACGCGATATGAGAAATCAATCAGTCACAGGGTCAGTCCCCCCCAAAAAAGAGCTGCCCTGCCCAGGCCACCCAGGATGTTTGGAGGTATCCATATAAAAGCCGAGGTCCTGATAAAGTCTCCATGCCCCCAAGATTTGCACAAGTTACACGTAAAAGAAACACTACTGACTTGGCACAAACAATCATCAACAACATGATGACGAAGCACTAGTACAGTACTGCAATGTAATTGGCGCGTATGTTTCAGAGAGTTGTTTGACATCTATACTCTATAATATACATACATGTATATATATATATATCTGTATATATGTATATATATATATATATATATGTATGCATGCATGCATGCATGCATGCATGCATGCATGTATGTATGTATGTATGCATTTATAAAGACATAATATATAAATATGTTAGTGTATGTATCTCTTGGCAGGTATACATGTACGTCTACATATTTGCTTCAAACAGAAACACCAACGATGATCATGAATATCATTATAATCCAAAGAAAAACTGGGAAGAACTCCATCTCTTTCCATATTTTAACAGCAACCCTAGGAAAAATGGCCACTCCAAGGTCCAAAAACCTACCCCCACAGTGCTGGTCCAGTGACACACACCGCCGGCGCCACCACTGCTGGGATGGGACCACCAGTGGCTGCGGCCGCGAAGACCACCACGCTGCCGCAGGTGTTGATGCCTGAGGCCAGCTGCCTCAGTACAGATCATCTGGTTGGTGGTTGACCTACCCCTCTGAAAAATATGCTCGTCAGCTGGGATGATGACATTCCAAACTGAATGGGAAAATAAAATCCATGTTCCAAACCACCAACCAGTCATTAACTAGACATAGATATATTAACTCTTAACTATGTAAATAACTGTTATACTGGTATACGTTTTATAAATCTTTATAATTTATAATCAATGATTATATTTAATTATTTGATAACTTAAATTACTCATAACCATCATTAACCATTCTTAACCATTGTGGTCAATACTGGGGAATCAATGCCATAAACCACCCATGACTGGGTATGGTAAACATACTGCCTATAAACAATGGTGATGACTGGGGGAATGGTTTATGATTGTTTTACCCACATTTTATAGATGAATATGCATGTTGAACAATGAAGATGTAAATGATGTATACATATGTATACAAGGTATACCACACAAAAAAATAGAGCAGAATTCCTGACCGACAGATTGAATGGAGGAAAATTATTCTGACCCAAAAATATCCTCCAAGGGTCATTCCTATTCTTTCATGTGGTTGGGAAACTCTTATATAGGTGCCCCTTGGTTCGCTATTTAGTCGCACTTAATAAAACAGGAAATGTGGATACCCATAGCTCCTTAGTTCTCTCCCTACCACTTGATGGCTATCAGAAGGAATGTCGTAATTGTATTGCCTTTGAGCTTGCAGCCCCTTACCAAAAGAGGCACATGATGAAAGGACTGCACTGTAAATATCCCAATCCAATCCATGGTTCGAAGTTTCAGTGTACCCGTCACAAAAATGCTTTCAACATCTGCGGTATGTGCTAGAGGCATCTATTTTGATCTGGCAAAAATATGCAAAAACAGTGCGATTTACCAACCTGAAACACAATTTTTGGTGAGATCGCTTGCATAAAGGCCCTAGGAATTTGCAGAGCTCATATGATCTACCCTCTCGTATGTAATCAAACGTGGCAATTGGAAATCCACTGGTTTTAGTATTTTAGTGTGGAAATTGTATCCAGATTTTTGTTTTAGTTTCCATTGCCACATGTGATCACCGGATTGTATTAATTATGTCGCATTTTTTTTAGGGGCCCAAAGGCCGAAAACGCCTCAAGATCCACTGTCCACCCGTCTCTTCTCAGGTCAAACTGCTCACATCGCATCTCAGACCAGCGGATCACCCTGGCCATGGGGTAAAGTCGATTAAGTCACCGAGGATAATAAATGGCACATCCTCTGGGAATCGAATGTGGCAATACACCCTTTTCCGAAATGTTCAGCACTTGGAGACTTGGAGTTCAACAGCCTGTGGATTTCTTCCTCAGGTTGCCCTGACAAAATGTCTTGCCAACAAGTGATTGGAAGATATAGGGTCCAAATGATTGACGACTTGGGCACTTTAATCATTGCACAATTGCGATCACAAGTGCCCGAGGAAAACACAAAACATGGAAAACAAAGAAAGTGCATGGATACAAAGCCCGGTTTCACTTGTAAAAATGGCAAAAATGGCGGAAACATGTAGAAATGATGGCATGTACCTGGTTCTTGGGATTATCTCCCGTGCTGAACAGATTAGGGCACGAACTGGGCGCTTAGCTTGTCCCTTATAGCACTATTCTTTCCAAGATCATGACGGCGGCAATGGAGCATCTGATACGATTGGTACATCTTGGGCAACGGTATTCGACACCGCCAAAGGGAAGATCCGATGGTTCTTTTCCCTGGCTGAGATTTGTGATGTGACCCTGGAACAACGCAGGGGGGACTGTATAATTCATGAGAATCTCACCTGAAATTAGTTTCGATGGGTTGTCTCAATTGTCTCAATAGGGGCATACGTTTTTCTATGTTACCACCCTCTCGCCAACAAACTGGCAAGCGGCTGACGATTGGCTTGAATTGTGCACACTAATTAACTAATTGGAAAGTTCCGTTTGCGGTGTTGTACAACATGCAACAAACCTGAAATTCTTGGTGGGTCGGTGGCGGTGGATTATGTTGATCATACCAATGCAACAGACTATATGCCGAATTTGCATGCACACATAGAACCCACTTACCTACATTCATGTAAATTTTACCTACGTTGATGTAAATGTGCATCTACCTCGATGCAAGTATGCATCCATGCAAACATGAATGCGATCCATCGCTCTTTGCAAGAATTCAGCCCTAGGCCAGTGTATCTCTCTCACTCCCTCCCTAAACATATATATATATGATATAATATAATCGAAGGAAGTTTAGAAGTCAAACTTCCGACAATATGGAGAGATGAAAAGCAGAGCAGGGCAAAGGCAGAGAGAAGAGGAAGATTAGAAGAGAGAAGATCAGAAGAGAAAGAGTAAGAAGACAGAAGATACAGATGCGCGAAAAGGTGGGAAAGTCGCGAAACACTGTGTTTTTCCAATGATTTGTGGCTCCGGAGGGTCGAAAAGTAGGCTCGCTAAAGCGGCGGGTGCGGAGCCAGCTGGCCACAGGAGCGATGAAAAATTGCGCGCCGTTGTGGCGCGAAGCACATTTCGAAGTCAAAAGTGTTAAAAACTGGCGGTCTCGGAACACTTTTGGAATTTGAGATGTCAAAAAAGTGCACGCCGTTGTGGCGCGAAGTACATTTCCAAGTCAAAATGTACAAAACACACCAGGTCCGGACCACTTTTGGAAGTTGCGATGTCGAAAAAGTGCACGCCGTTGTGGCGCGAAGCACATTTCCAAGTCAAAATGTACAAAACACCTCAGCCCCGGACCACTTTTGGAAGTTGAGATGTCGAAAAAGTGCACGCCGTTGTGGCGCGAAGCACATTTCCAAGTCAAAATGTACAAAACACCAGGGGTTCGGACCACTTTTGGAGGTTCAGATGTCGAAAAAGTGTACGCCGTTGTGGCGCGAAGCACATTTCGAAGTCAAAATGTACAAAACACTAGGGTTTCGGACCATTTTTGGAGGTTCAGATGTTGAAAAAAGTGTACGCCGTTGTGGCGCGAAGCACACTTCGAAGTCACACTACATTACAGTACATTACTCCTCCAGTACACTCCACTACACTAAATTACACTACACCACACTACATTACACTGAATGACACTGCAACACAGATAGACAGGTAGACAGCTAGACAGCTAGAGAGATGAAAGGGAGAGGGAGATAGACAGGTAGGTAGATAGATAGATAGGTAATTAGATGAAAGAGAGAGAGAGAGAGAGAGGGGCCAGCTGGGTAGATGAGATAGATAGATAGATGGCTAGACAGATAGACAGACAGAAAGACAGACAGATCGATAGACAGACAGACAGACAGATAGATAGATAGATCGATAGATACAGAGATCGATACATGGAGAGATAGATAGATACATGGAGAGATAGATTGATAGACAGAGAGATAGATAGATAGAGAGGGAGAGAGAGATAGATAGATAGATAGACAGATAGACAGGTAGACAGCTAGACAGATAGACAGATGAAAGAGATAGAGAGAGATAGATAGATCGATAGATAGATACATAGATACATAGATAGATAGATAGATTGGTAGGTAGGTAGGTAGGTGCACCATAGATAGATAGGTAGACAGACAGACAGACAGACAGATAGATAGATAGATAGATGGACAGGTAGACAGCTAGACAGATAGACCGATGAAAGAGAGAGAGAGAGAGAGATAGATAGATAGATAGATAGGCAGGTAGACAGCTAGACAGATAGACAGATGAAAGAGAGATAGATAGATAGATAGATAGATAGATAGATAGATAGATAGATAGATAGATAGATAGATAGATAGATAGATAGATAGATAGATAGATTGGGTAATTGAATGAAAGAAAGAGAGAGAGATAGATAGA